AGTTCGGCGAAAATACCCTACGTCTCCGGGCACCGCCAACCGCAACGCCAGATTTACTAAACTCACGAACGAAATACAACTAGGGTTAAATAACCCACAAATTAGAATTTCCTTATTTAAGGATTTCCTTCTAAGAGAGGAGAGAATAGAATAAGGTGCAATTATAACCCAAAGGCAAGGGACCTATTTATACTAAGAAGATCCTGCACATCTTTGGTATACATCCAATGTGGGACATAAAGTTAATCAATATCTAACAATTCTCCACCTTGACTAATTTTACTCTCACTTCGACTCTTCAATCCAAATCAACTACTGGCGGTGCCTCCAAATGCGCCTCTCGGTGCCAACTCAAATATGCAGAATGTTGGTGAAGTCTAAACAATGTATTCAAACTTGACTGCTGTCACTATCTTGGTCATCATATCTGCAGGATTCTCCGTCGTCTTGATCTTCTTCAACACAACGGTTTCCATCTTTTAGAATCTCCTGCACAAAGTGATAGCGAACATCAATATGCTTCGTTCTTGCATGAAATACTTGATTTTTTGCTAAGTGAATAGTGCTCTGATTGTCACAATGCACTAAGACATGCTTCTAACCAACTCCCAAGTCTTCAAGCAAACTTTGAAGCCAAACAGCCTCTTTTACAGCTTCAGTAACCGCCATATACTCCGTTTCTGTTGTAGACAAAGTAACTGTTGACTGTAAAGTAGACTTCCAACTTACTGGAGCTTTCGCAAAAGTGAACAAATATCCAGTCGTTGATCTTTGCTTATCCAAATCACCTGCATAGTCAGAATCACAATATCCAACTACACATTGATCAACTTCATTCTGCTCATAAACTAATCCAACGTCTATAGTATTATGAATGTACCGTAGAATCCATTTCACAGCATGCCAATGACCTTTACCAGGATCATGCATATACTTGCTAACAACACCAACTGCTTGTGAAATGTCGGGCCTTGTACACACCATCGCATACATCAAACTGCCAACTGCATTTGCATCTGGGACTCTATCCATGTACTCTCGTTCTTCATCACAATTTGACGATAATTGGTCACTTAACTTAATATGAGGGGCAAGTGGTGTATTTACAGGCTTCGTCTCATCTTTTATGCCGAAACGCTGTAGGACCTTATTCAGATATTGCTTCTGAGTTATACAAAGCTTGCCTCTCCTTCTGTCCCTACTTATCTCCATCCCGAGAATTTTCTTAGCTTCCCCCAAGTCTTTCATCTCAAACTCTTTATTTAATTGAGCCTTCAAATGATCAATCTCCACTTGTCTCTTTGATGGAACCAACATGTCATCCACATACAAGAGTAAGTAAATGAAAGATCCATCTTGCAGCTTGCGTAGATACACACAATGATCATGTCCGCTTCGCGTGTACTTCTGCCCAATCATAAACTTATCAAACCGCTTGTACCACTGTCTCGGAGATTGCTTCAGTCCGTACAACGATTGTTCAACTTACAGACCCAATTCTCTTTCAAGAATTTTGAATCCTTCTGGCTGAGTCATGTAGATTTCCTTATCTAAATCTCCGTGTAAGAACGCCGTCATCACGTCAAGTTGAGCTAGCTCTAAATCCAACTGTGCTGCTAAGGCCAACAAAATTCTAATGGAAGAGTGTTTAACAACTGGCACTTCATTATAATCAACTCCTTCCTTCTGAGCGTAGCCTTTAGCCACCAATCTTGCCTTGTAGCGCACATCATTCTTATGAGGAAATCCATCTTTCTTTGCAAATACCCACTTGCATCCTATTGCCCTCTTGCCTTTTGGTAGTTGCGTCACCTTCCAAGTTTGATTGTTCTGAAGAGACAACATTTCTTCCTCCATAGCCCTTTTCCACTTCTCATTTTCTAAACTCCGAATTGCATCTTGAAAAGTGAAAGGTATGTCATCATCAACAATTGGAAGTGCATAAGCCACCATATCCGCCAATCGAGCAGGTTGTTGAATCTCTCGTCTGGGCATTCTCAATGCAATGGGTAACTCTAATGATTCTTGAGTCTGTACTTCATCATCCAACGAATCCTTTGATATTGGTTCGTCAATCATAGCTGGTCGTCTCGTCATCGCATCTATCTCCACCTGCTTCGGTGTCAACTCCACCTGTTGGGTTTGCGTCGTCTTTATCATACCTTATTCATCAAATGTAACATCCCTGCTGAACACAGTTTTGTTCGTCTCAAGACACAAAAGACGATATCCCTTCACGCCAATTGTGATTCCCATGAACAAAGCCTTTTTCACTCTTGGATCTAACTTTGAATTCTCCACATGATAGAACGTAGGACACCCAAAGGCATGTAACGATTCATAGTCAGCAACAAGCTTCCCCGATCATACCTCCAACGGTGTTTTACCATCTTTTGCAGATGACGGCAAATGATTTATGAGGTGTTGCGCGTATGTTACAGCCTCAGCCCAGTACTCCTTGCCCAAACCAGCATTGGACAACATACATCGAACTTTCTCCACCAATGTCCGATTCATGCGCTCCGCCACCCCATTTTGTTGTGGTGTCCGTCTAACGGTGAAGTGCCTAACAATGTCATTTTTTCGGCAAACTTCTTGAAAGGGATCACTTGTATATTCTCCACCATTGTCCGTTCGTAGGACCTTGATCTTCCTTCCAATCTGATTCTCAATTTGTGTCTTCCTTGTAATGAAGACACCAAGCATTTCATCCTTCGTCTTCATAGTGTACACCCAAACGCGTATGGAAAAGTCATCGATGAAAGTGACAAAATAGCGTCTTCCGCCTAATGATGGGGTCTTAGAAGGTCCCCAAACATCTGAACGAACATAATCCAAGACACCTTCGGTATTATGGATAGTTGTTCCAAACTTCACTCTTTTCTGCTTTCCCCAAACATAATGCTCACAAAAGTCTAATTTGCACACTTTGACATCTTTCAACAATCCTTGTTTTCCCAATATCTGCAAGGATTTTTCACCAGCATGTCCCAACCGCATATGCCATAGCTTAACTGTTTCAGACTCCTTGTTGGTGGAATCTGCTACTGTTGCTGTCCCAACAACTGTATCACCTTCATAGTAATATATATTATTCTTTCTGATGCCTTTCATCACCACGAGCGAGCCGGATGTAGCCTTCATAACTCCATCTTGCAAAGTCACTACCAAGCCTTTGGATTCCAAAGCTCCTAATGAGATGAGGTTTTTCTTCAAACTCGGCACGTACCGAACATCCGTCAAAACTCTGGTGGAACCATCGCGATTCTTCAAACGGATTGAAACTATCCCAATTGTCTTACAAGCATTATCATTACCCATGTAGACAACCCCTCTATTGATCTCGTGAAAATTGAAGAACCACTCCCTTATAGGAGACATATGGTAGGTGCATCCTGAATCCAAAATCCATTCGTCTGGATGAGATGATGAAGGTGAAACCACAAATCAAAATTCTGAGTCTTCACATCCACCCTCGGCAACATATGCATCTTGAGGAGATTTTGCCTTTCTTCTTCAACTTAGGACAGTCTTTCTTCCAGTGTCCCTTCTCATGGTAGAAAGCACAATTGTCTTTTTCAAGCTTGGCCTTGGAACGTGATCTTCCTCGTCCATTCTTCTTTTGGCTATTCAACCGACCTCTTGCAACCAACTGATTGAATGCAGTGACGTGGTCATTCATCGATGTGCCATGACGGTACTCAAATCGGAACAATCGCTTCTTCACGAGGAGCTTATTCTGGCCGCTTTTCTTTAGAAATTTATCCTCCAAAGCCTTCCACATAGTGTGAGCAGAAATCTTATTCTTGAACGCGTACTTATGTTCCCTCGACAAACACGAACGAATTGTTCCACATGCTAAGCGGTTGATATTCTTTCAGTCCTTCTCTTCAACGTCAGTTTGCTTCTCTTCTTCAATTGTAATGTCGACGCCTTGTTGAAATAGACAATTCAGTACCTCGTCTTGCCACATGCTGAAATGACCGGTCCCATCGAAGATCTCCACTGGGAGTCTGACGTTTGGCATCACCATCCTTGCCGGAATGAATGCAGAGGATGATGCACCCTTGACCTCCTTGGACATCTCGAACTCGAATGCAGTGCTCGCCTCTCCGAATAAGCCTAGGGCGAACCTTCGGCTCTGATACCACTTGTTGGGGTAGAACACCAAGCGCAGCGGAAAAAGACGAGAAATAAGAACACAAAAATTGATAACGGTGTTTGGCAAAAATAGCCTGCGTCTCCGGGCACCGCCAACCGCAACGCCAAATTTATTAAACTCACCAACAAAATACAACTAGGGTTAAATAACCCACAAATTAAGATTTCCTTATTTAAGGATTTCCTTCTAAGAGAGGAGAGAATAGAATAAGGTGCAATTGTAACCCAAAGGCAAGGGACCTATTTATACTAATAAGATCCTACACATCTTTGGTATACATCCGATGTGAGACATAAAATTAATCAATATCTAACACATGCTTGTCTTCGAATTCCTTTAATTACAAAGTGACTTTTTTCGTGATTACAATTCAATAAAATTTGCCTGTTGCGGTTGCACTTTTCCTCCATTATTATATAGGGCTTGTATAGTATATTATTGTATTTCTGAAAATCACCAATGTTTATAGATTTCCACTGAAGCTTTGTGTTTGATGACAAACATCTAATAATAATGGGCAGTTAATTCATTCTTGTGCATCACATCACAATCACTTGATGGACCGATTCTACATTTGTTTGATAACTTTTGGTGGCTATTTGAGTTCACAATCATATAATATATATATATATATATATATATATATATGTTGCATTTACCAGTCTAATGTGTTGGCGCAAATAGGATCTCAAGCTGCATAATCATCATCTCTCTATATTCTATATGAACGAGTTTGAGCCCTCTCAAGGCGACATGTGGCATTTTTGGAAGGCCTCTACAGGCAACACGTGGCCCTTTTATTTACATTTTTGCCACTAAATTTTTGCAATTGTGTTGGCCTTTGTATACAGTATACACCTTATTGCCTTTTCCGAAATTTCTACTCTTTCTTTACACCATCTCCATCAAAATCCTACGGTCCTACCTAACGTGATTTTCTTGTACGATATCTTCCCAATGAAGATTTCTTGGCAGATCTCATTTCTTCAAACACCATCTTACGCTTCTTCCACTTCAAAAAGCCCTAAATCTTCTCCCATTTATTTTTATTTGCTTACGATGTTGCAACGTATCGCATAGCGGCGAGATTCAAGCACCACCAACAATCCCCATACGGCGATCTCACACACACGCAGACACACACTAACTGCACACCATTGTAAAATTCAGTCCTCAAAACCCACTTTTCTAAGCTTCTCAGGTTGCAACCCTTGTTGGGTTCATCCTTTCCTTGTAGATGGCGACTGAGAGCTCTAAAATCATTCAACCCCAAACCGTCGATTCAAGCCTCGGAGGTCCAAATCCTCTGATAAGAACCGATATTGACACGTCGGCGCCGTTTGAGTCCGTGAAGGAGAAGGCAAGCCGCTTCAACAACATGGGTTTCTGGAAACCGGCCCGGCTCAAACCGTCCAGCATGCGTCTGATGTTGTCTGGGGGCTCGCGGTGCGGTTNGTATTTGTTTATGTGTTTTGTTTTGGGTTTTTGTGGGCCCAAAAAATAACAAATTGATGAATGGTGATTTTTTGTTATTATTTCTCTTTGTAGATATATCTACCGAGGACCTGTTTATATCAAATTAGATATTGCGCAAGATCTTTTGAGGCCTGTTGATCAGTATCTATTAGAGGGTCTGAAGCGTTTTGAATATGCCATTGCAGTGATTGCATAAGTAGGTGCACAAGAAAGATGGATTTTACTTTTACACTATATCTATATACTTTTTATAGTTTCTAATAATTTGTTCTTGTCGTCTAAAGGATATATGATGGAGAATGTGTCTCTCATGTTAGAGTTATCTGAGGCATTTCATGTTCTGTCTTTGAGACATGCTTGCATCCTATTCATCCTTGACAAGGTTGACAAGTTAAGTTACCCTCACCCTTGATTGAGAAAATCTAATTTCTCTTTAAAACAAAAATACCTGGTGAGATTTGCTCTTTGAATTTGAAATTTAGCACATTTTTTCTCATTGCAGTTGCAACTCCACCGGTGATTATGTTGTCGCAGTTGCGTTGGCATCTAGAGTTGGTATAGCCGCACTAGCTGCGGCTTAGACCAGGAAAGAAAAGAGTGGATGAGAAAGAAGAATGTTATGATGGAAGTCCTTCTGCATGATAGACAAAACCATATACATGATTACATATTACATTTTAATGTTTATTCTACTTTAGTTAGTGGTTTATGTAGAGATCTTATGTTGATCAGTTTCAGGTGGAAGAGCATTTTATGATTCTCATGGGATTGCTTACTTTGTTATCTGTAGAAACTTTTTGAATCATATGGCTTCGCTGTGATTTGATTATTCACTTTTTCAGGTGCAAATTTGATGATGAAAAGGTCATTAAAGAAAAGTTTGTCGCAATTGACACTTATACTTCTAAGGTATTTTCTTTTTTGGGAGTTAAACTTTCATCTGTTTTGAATGATGGGTATCACAATCTTTTACTACTTTTTTTCCATTGGCTGCAAGGCGGCGCCATGGGGGGCAAACTTCTAGAATGAAGGTTATGCGCATGGCTCACATGCACTTTGGATGGCCTTCCACAACCGATCTCTTGGTTGTAGGGAAGTGTCCTGGTTTTGGGTTATTTGTTTCTTATTTTTTAAAGTTTATGATCCATTTTTGTTGGTGTCTATGTAAGATTGCGTTGGGCTTAATTGGTATTAATTTGCTCTATTAATATCTCTAGGTATTGAATTATGATACACGGGAATCAGGTTAATTGTTGTTCAATTTAGATGTATATAATTATTTATTTAGTCAATGGTTCTTTACTTTTTGAAATGGCAATGGTTGCAGCTAAAAGATAATAAATACTAGATTGGACAATAGATACGTGGTTTTTTCTTGGGTACACCAAAGAAAGAGTTTTGGCAATGAAGTTCTAGGAAATGTAACTTGAGTGTGTGTCGTCCGCTTTGGCTTTGGATGTCAGAACAATAACCGTAGAAAATAGAGTAGTACATTAAAACGGGCAATTTATATTCCTAAATTTTGATACGCACACTTCTTCTATTTGTTGTGCAAAGGTAAATCTTTCTTTACAAATCTGTCATATTTTTTTCCGTTTCGCACGTATGGGGATTTCAATAGAGAGTTTAAATTTATATTTTGTATTCTCAATGAGAGGTTTCAATTTTTTTTAAAAAACAACAAGTTTCAGTTTAAGATTTCTTACATTCATGGAAACCGATGGTTGACTTCTAATTTTCTATAATAATATTCGCTCTCCTCTGCAGAGGGAAAATTAAGCATTGTTGGCTTAATGATGAACAATTGGGCTTAATTTGTTGGCATAATGTTTGATGAATGACACCCAATTTGTCTTCCATTTTCACAGCTTGAAGAATGTCATTTGGGGGATTGCAGGTACCATTCGTATCGAGAGGATAGGTACTTTGCACGGTTAATCTATAAGTTAATTTCTAATATTTAAATTGAAATCCATGTTCATGTGGGGATTAATTGAATTTGGATTTGAGATATTTAGAATCGTTAGGCTATTTGATGATGATGTTGCAGAAATTGGCTACTGGCTACTGCGTGGTGCAATCTCATCCCTAATGGTTTTCATACTTCTCATTTCATTGTTTTTATTAGAATTGAGTTCTCCTTTTCACATAGCCAGCTGCAAATACGGATTCGAAGCTCATAATAGTTTGATATGGTTTGGTGATATGTGTTATTTTCATCTGCTTTCATTTCGAGGTCAATTAATTTAGAGATGATGGAAATAAGTTTGTGAGTATAGAAATTCCTTAATAGGTTCTTTTAAGCATATTTGTTTTCCACAAATATTCCCAGTAGTAAAAATTGTTTTGGTTCTTCAATTCCACAATTTATTTTTATTATCTTTTTCTATTCTAATAAAATGTTTGGTTTCGTTTGTATTGTAATTGCACCATAATAATTCTCTGATCAAGCATAAAAGAATCTCTACTATTCATTAAGTTTTATAATTTTCTACATGTTAATGTTATAATTTAATAGCTCCTCTTGACAAACACAGAGCTCATTAAGCAAACGACAAAGTGAACAATTTTTTTCTGAACTGAGGCAATACCATGACCCAAAATTCAGATTCAGAAAGTGAGCGGATGTATGAAATTAATGTTCTCATGTGCTTACATTATTGTGCCTATCAATCAAAACAAAAACAAACTGAAAATGATCATGTAGACATCGAAATTTTAATTTTTTATTAATTAATATCTTTATTTATTTTGGGACATAAATCCAAGATATATAAGATATTTAATTAATAAAATAAATATTTCTTACCCACCAAGTCAAATCTTAGGATAAGGAAAGAGATTATATCAAATCTTATGATAAGGAAATAGATTATATCAAATCATGAAGGACCAATCAAATTGATGTCTTCTTTTCCAAGACTCTCTCTCCTACACCTATAAATAGGGCTCTCCTCAAAGTCACAAAATCCAACATCTAAGACACCAAAAAAAATCCAACACTTCATAAATCAAGTCTCAACTCAAGAGCTCTCAATAATTCTCATGAAGATCCAAAGGTGTTCTTGAAGATCCACAAGTTGCACAAAAATTTTATGTTTTTCATAAAATTTGTTGTTACAAATTTGGCACGCCGAGTGGGACTTTCCTTACCTCTCATCTCTTCTCTCCAAATCAAGTTCGAAGATTTTTTAAGATGCATGAAGACCTCTGTGAAGAAAATGTACACGAGGGCAACGAAGGATGATGTTTTCCTAAACCATGAATCCATCGAAAATCATCGTGTTCATCAAACGTCCGAATGGAGGAAACATAAGTGGTCTTCCATATTCTTCTTAAATTCCACGGGGGAAATTTACATGAAGAGCTCCATCAAATCTTCAAATTCAAATGCTCCTTAATATGAGCCTAAAGTATCTACATATTCAAATGCTCCTTGATACGAGCTTAAACTATCTACAATGCTCCTTGATACGAGCTTAAACTGTCTACAATGCTCCTTGATACGAGCTTAAACTATCTACAATGCTCCTTGATATGAGCTTAAACTGTCTGCATTTCTCCTTGATATGAGGCTAAACTATCTATATGGCTCATTGACATGATCATAAAATATCTACAAGCTTGAAGGCTCCTTGACACGAGCATAAAATGTCTACATATCAAGATCTCCTTGACATGAGAATAAAAGGTCTACATATCAAACTTGAAGTGTAACACCCCGCTTATCGGAGTAACTTTTTCGCAACCTTTTACTTCGATATCACTTTAACTTTTTCGAAATAATTGCAACTTACTCGGGATGCTACTAAACTCGTTTTCTTGAAAATCCGTTTATCTTTAAACTGTTGTCTAATACTTCTTTAAACTTATTAAAACAGATTTCCTTTAAACTTGCATTTAACATATTATCCTCATATTTCTCATAAAAACTTGAAATCTAAAATTCATTAAAATGCAAGTTTAATAATTAATGTGCGTAGCAGAAATATTTGAAACGTGGTTAATTATACAAACTTTATAAATGTCCACATTAAAGCTTGTCTTCATTTTCTTCCACGATCCACACCACACGGCTCTTCTCACACATCCTCGTTAACCTGTTACCTGAAACTAAAACTCATGGGGGTGAGTAACGAATATGGATAATCATAAACCGATATCTGATCGGTAACTTAAACTTAAACTTTTATTTCTCTGGCCGATGGTTAATCGGATACGTGTGCACACTCTGATGGATATTTCTCAGGCCCGTCTCGCCTCCATCAGAACTTAGGATATAATCTTTGAGACAAATTAATGCCTCCTCATCCCAAGCGTAATAAACCTTAAACTTCGGGATATAACTTTTGAGACAACTGATGGTCTCCTCATCCCATATCACATATCGTACTCAATGTGCTACCCATTCAGGGTCCCCACCTTTTCATCTTTGAAATCGTTTGTAACTCAATAAATTCTGTACTGGTACTGTATCTGCAAGTTAAATCAAATATAGACAAATATACTAAGTACTATGCTCGTATACTCAATAAGTTCTTAGGATTATTAACTTATCCTATTCTTAAACTTGCTTATTCTCAAGTTTATACTTAACGTCACTTTTTACTTTTACTCAAGGTTAATTACTTAACCTTATAAAACATATCTTCTTAAACATCAATATGTTTCATAACATGCCATAACTCAAATGTGAAAAATAACCATATTTCACATTATACTTGATTAAGTACTTAACTTACTTTTACCATCATCATCATCATCATGGTTTATAAACTCATCTTAACTTGATCTTTCACTCAATCAAGTACTTAATTCATCATACATCATACTTCTCAAAATTTAGATATTGACTTATTTTTCACTTAATTATCTTGAAAGTGAAAATAATCATATCATACTCAACTTTCTCATCATGTTCTTAATATGTGAGATTTAAAACAATTTTTATAAAATCACATACTCAACATATTGAGCTGAAACTTGGTCAAATTGCTCATCACTCATATAAGAATTTTTTCTAAAAATTCCATTTTAAAAACTCAACCATATACTGAATACTCTTGCATATAAAATCATCTTGACATGTATGCCATATAAATATTTTAACTCGTTCATTTCTCAACATAAAATCATGAAATTTGGCAGTCATGTTCTTAACCCATATATAAGCATGTCGTAAAAATTTCATAATTTTATCATGTGTATATATCGAGTTAATACAATTTTAAAGTCACAGCTGAAATAAAGAACATAAAATTCAACTTGCATGCTTAACTTCAAAAATTTATAACACAAGCTACACTATGCCAAATGACATAATTCTTGTTCTCATGAACTCCTCTTTTACACAAGAATTTATCATGTAAATCATACTTTTCCAGCTTATTATTTTCTTTATCAAAATCTCATTCAAATCAAGCACATATATCATATAATTGATCTTGAACAACTTTAACTCTTTTTATTCATATGATCAATTATAAACTCAACTTCTAATCATGATATACATACTTATAAATATGTAAACTTATCATCAAGACATGAACTTAAGCATATAACTTCAAGATAAGTAAATTACCTCCTTCTTGCTAGAATAAAAACTTGATTCTTCACTTCAAATTCTTCACTCCACCAAAATTTCTACTACTTATTCTCTCTTATAAACTTATATAACTTTTAAAACTTTTCTTTGGTGTCAAAACTCTGAGTTTTAGGCCTCTATTTATAGGCAAAAGTTTCAAGACATCATAATTGAGTGAAGATATTAACAAAATAAACATTACAAACTTGTAAAAATAAATATAGATAATAAATAGTATTCTTAACTTGTAAACTTCTCCAACCCATAGTCAATGCTTAGAAAGGCCCCTCTTCTGATCCTAATCTGATCTCAATGATTAAATTCGAGATTTAGTGAAATTCTCCAATTTACGGAACCAAATTCTGACTTAAAACGAACAGTTACCGTAAAATCGAAAATTCTTACTATTTTCGAATTTCCTTCCTTTCTTTTGGCATTTTTCCTTTTTATGCTGAAAAATTTTTCTTGTCTTGTAGTCTACAAAAAAAATAGAGAAAATAATTTAATTTATTTCTCGGAACTGAAATCGGACATAAATTCCGACTACAATCGAAAACCGAAAAAAACGAAAATTCTAAAAATTTCATATTTCTCTCTAATAATTTAAATAGACTAAAATGTCTAAATAAATTTCTCACTTCTTTGAACATTTATAACTTAAATGTTCATGGATACTTAACCGAACTCGAGACCTAACTTGTCTCGACTCATTATTCTTTTTCTTTCTCATTCAAACTAGAAATGGCCAAATTTACATCCATTTAGCTAAATAAAATGGAATGTTACTTGAACTTGAACTTCATCTTAAATAACTTATTCACTTCAATAAACATTACTGTGTAATTAATCCTTATAACTTGATCAATACTCAAAACTAAGCTATGCTCGAGAATCATTTGCTCGGTAATAATCTTAACTCGTAACCGAACATGCTTGGTTCGGTTCACGACTTATCTTGAACGAGTAATCAAAATATACTCGATTTATTATTATTATTATTATTTGTCATCTTGTTATAATTAATCCCATCTTATAAATCCATTTATAAAAATAAACAGACCAGAATTAATTAATTACTGAACTGGCTCGATTACTAAATAAAATTTAACCGAGAATACTTTCAACTTAAAGTCAAACTTTTAACTGAATAACTTAATAACTGAACTCGAACTAGGAACGAGCATTATTAATAAAAGTAATTAGTTCAAACTTAGAACTAAAATAATTATTTTTATTAATTACTGAATGGGATATTACATGAAGGCTCCTTGACACAAGCATAAAATGTCTACAAACTTGAAGGCTCCTTGACACGAGCATAGAATGTCTACAAATTTGAAGACTCCTTGATACGAGTATAAACTATCTGTCAAATCAAATCAAGACTCCTTGATACGAGTTTAAACTATCTACAATTCATGTCAATTGAAGAACTCCTTGATATGAGTATAAACTATCTGTCAAATCAAATCAAGACTCCTTCATACGAGTTTTAAACTATATACAAATCATGTCAAATGAAGAAACTCCTTGATACGAGTATAAACTATCTGTCAAATCGAATCAAGACTCTTTGATACGAGTTCAAACTATCTACAAATCAAGTCAAATGAAGAACTCATTGATACGAGTTTAAACCTTCTACAATTCAAAAGACTCCTAGATCAGAGTTTAAACTATTTGCATGTCCAAACCAAATTCAAAATTTTGAGACTCATTCACTACCAAGACATTTTGTCCGTGAACAAGTCTCAAGGGGGCATTTGTAGACATTGAAA